ACATGGAGATCGTTGATGATCTTTAAAAATCGGTCGAACATTTGATCAACGCTTTCAATTTCCTTCATTTTAAACAACTCATATTCATGGGTTAGAAAATCAATTTTAGCTTCACGGACTTGAGGCGTACCTTCGTATGTCACTTCAAGCTTATCCCACATTTCTTTTGCGGTGGAGCAAGAAGAAATTTTCCGGTAGTCATCCGGATTTATTGCACAAAAAATCATGTGTTTAGCTTTTTCAAAAGCTTCTACCTTCTTGATGTCTTCAGCATCATATTCTTCCTCCTTCTATGGGATGGTGGTTTCACCAACCTTTTTCATTAGCATCGTCTCACCGTTTTTGATGATTAACCATAGTTAGAAGTTGATTGACCGAATGTAAATCCTCATTCGTTCCTTCCAATAGGTGTAGTTTGTTCCATCGAAGAGTGGAGGTCTAACGGTGGAGTGTCCTTCACTTAATCCTGCATACGACATTTTCAACAAAAAAATATAGATCGTTCTCTCAACCGGTTAAGGCTTGTAGAGAGTTAGGCTCCGATACCAATTGTTAGAATAAGTGCCCTTCACTAGAGGGGGGTGAATAGTGAGGCAGGAGAATGTTTATAAATTTTCGCGGAATAAAAATCGCAGGGATAAAGTAAAGAGCGGAATAAAAAGGAGTAAAGGGAGCACACCAAGATTTACCCTGGTTCACCACAACTTGTGGCTAATCCAGCCTCCCGAGAGACTCTCTCGAGCTACACTACTTCCGTTAAGCTACGGGTGCTTAACAAACCGTTACAACCTGAGAACTCGAGTCCCACGAGCCTCAATACACTTGCTCGGAGATACCGCACTCCAAGACTTCAACCCGAAGGAAAATACCTTTCCTTCGAACAACCAAGGGAAACAAGCTTCCCTAAACGTGTTTACAACACTAAGAACACTCAAGAACAAGACTCTCTTTAAGAGTAGATGTTGAGTAAACTATATACGCTCAAGAACAACTCAAACTTCACAAATTGGCTCTAGAAAGCTATGGAAAATAATGTTGTTTGGATGCAATGATAATATGAATAAAGTGAAGTGAATTGATGAGAAAAGCAGACCCAAACACCCCTTTTTATAGTGCCAAAA